CCTAAGTCCTGGTGAGAGACCCTGTTTCAAAAATCAAGGTGATTGTTTTTTGAGGAATAACATGGGAGGCTGAGCTCTAGCCTTTACATGTGAGTGCACCCACCCACACCTACACATCATTTACAGAGTGGGTTTTGTTGCCCGGGTGATACCAGCCTTCTCTTACTCTTTTACTCCTTCTGGCCATTCCTCCTTCTGCCATGGGATGCTATGACATGAAGACCCTCTCCAGATATGAACCTCATGGCCATGAATTCCACAGCCTCCAGAACCATAAGGATTAAAAAAAAAAAAATCCATAATAGTTTCAAGCCTTGTTTTAGCAACACAAAAGGAATGAGGATAGTAACTAAAAAAATAAAAACGACAATCTTTGTCTCTAGTGTGATTGCAAAACAGTCTGGATGGCTTGCTTTTGCTCACTGATGTGGTCAAGATGCATTTCAAGAGTGTGAGGGAAGGGCTAGGGATTGAGACACACTGACTATAACTCTCTACCTTTTATCTTTTTTTCTGGCCACTGAATGACTTGATTCAGTTCAGCAAATGAGTAGATTCTCACGAGAAAGGCAAAAAAGTGATGAGGCACTGGAAGGGGAGAACAAAGGAACTTAGACTTCACATCTACTCAAGAGGAAGTAGTCCAGCCTTCTTCCCAGGTCTGCAGAATGTCTGCTTCATCCCTGGCTCCTCAGCTGCTAGGAACAGTGTAAGGAGAGATTGATTGTTTCTGGTAACAAATGTGCTACAGGAAATAGACTTGCAGAATGTGTCAGGGAAGACTCCTGGGTCCACAGAAACCAATGCTGGCCCTACCCAGACTTGTGTAGTAGGTAGCACCAGAGATCAGTGTGGCATTAGCCCTGAATGCAGGACTGATGTTTGGGTGCGGACTTTTCAAAGCAAAGATGTATTTATAGAAGATGGCCCTGGATCCAGGACTTCTGTCTTGCTTGTCAGGCCCCACCCCTTGCTAAGCTCTTGGCTTGGCATCTTAAACTAGAGCTGAGAATAATTCTCAGAATAACTTTGCCACTGGCATGAATCTTTTTAAAAAATATTTTATTGTGATATATAAAATGTATAGGTAGATTTTTTTTTTTTTTAAATAGGGTCTCCCTGTAGCCTCAGCTGGCTATGTAGAACTGGCCTTGATCTCACAAAGTGCTGGTATTAAAGGTGTGTACCACCACACCCAACCATAGGTAGATTTTTAAAGCACAGTACTGTGGTAGACCCTTATAGTCCCATGTAGTTAGGAGGCTGGAGGAAGAGGATCACTTGAGCTTAGGAGTTCAAGTCCAGCCTGGGCAACACAGTGAGTACCTTTCTAAAAATAAGTTGAGGAGAGAGGGGTTAATACTAAGGAATAAAATGAGCACTCATGAGTTCACTCCCTCCCCTCCCCTAAGAGGTGACCATCATGTCACTGTTTTACCCAATTTCTATGTTTCTCATTTTTATTTACCTTCATTCCTAAGTAATATGTGCTTTTTAAAAACCAAAACTGATGATTGCAGTTCAGAACCATCTATTTTTAAATTAAAAGACTACTTTATTTTCATAGAGTTCAGATTATTTCTGTTTTATAAATGGAAAATAATATCATACCTTAGATGTGAAGAAATAGTAACACTTAAAAAATAGCATACCTATTTAGATTATTATTGGGAAAAGTCTCTTAGTTTTTGAGTGAAATAGGATCTGAGAATAGAAGTTTAGGGAAACAAAATTAAGCCAGGTGTAGTGGTGCACACCACTCCCCAGCACTTGGGAGGCAGAGGTGGATCTCTGTGACTCTGAGGCCAGTTTGAGGTCCATGTAGCAAGTTCCAGGCCAGCCAAGGCTACAAAGTGAGACTCTAAGCAAACCACAAAATTAGGGGGCTGGAGACATGGTTCAGCAGGTGGCTCAGAACCAGCTCTAACTCCAGTTCCAGAGGATCTGACACCCTCTTCTGGCCTCTGTAGACACCTGCATACATGTGGTACACATATAAACAAGCAGGCATACACATGTACATGAAATAAAAATAAATCTTTAAAAGAAGGAAACAGAATTATGTTTCAAATTCACTAAAATATGTCATGTCCATAAAATATTTAGTTAATAGTTTCTGAGAAGTAATTTTCATACAAGAACAAATGATAACTGTGCATATTCTATATGTGTTTTTATTATTATTACCGTTATTAGTCTTGAAACATCTGGTGTTGAGCTTCACCTTAGGTTTGTAAGAGAAAGTCCTTGCTGAAGTTGTTCAGAGAAGATGTGGCCAACAGGAGAACCACATTCTCTATGGCACCAGCTGCAAGAAACCAGTGTCCTCTGCTCATGTGTATCACTTTATAGAATGAGTTATCACTCATAGCTCCACTCACAAAAAAGTTGGAGGAATTGAGAGAATTATAGAAAAGGATTTCTGGAATATGGTAATGTAAGGGTCCTTACACTGTGAAGTATGGGTAGAAACTTTGGGCTAAGAGCTCTTTAACAGTAAATGCATAATTGATTCTCTTTTCCTTTGGGAAGAAAAGGTCTGTTTTCTTTGATGGCTTCTTCAGTTGAGGAGTGTCTCAGTATTGGAAGGAAGGGAAGCGAGTAGGAAGCTCTGTGCCTTGGGTATCCCAGTGTGGTGCCTTGACTGTGCTGTGGGTGGTCTATAGCTTTTGCATTTTTCTCTGAAATCTCCATCTCCCTCTCATGAGCCAGAGTAACTAGATGTGAAAATGGAGGGGAAAAATTATTGGAATGGTTGCTGTAGTTTCAAAACAAATGACCTCACTGTCTGAATTCTACTTTATGCACAAGAAAACTTAACTTTGCCTTATAACAAATAATAGATCTTTGGGGAAACAGATCCAAATCCTCATTAGTGTGTATTTGGGGGAGGAGGAGGGCTGAAGCTAACTCTACAAGCAGAATATAACCAAAAGAACATAACTGTGTTATGCCAAATTGATAGTTATTGCCAGAGATACAGCAATTAAAAATGACAGCCACTTCTTCAGAGTAGGCAAGTGCTCACGATTTATGGAAGCCGACTTCATGTGAAGTTTATTCAGGCCTATTCCAGCAGTGCAAGAGAATTGTCCAATTTTCTTTCTGCAGAACGCCTCAGGTTTATCTTGTCCGTGCTCCTCATCTCATGCATGAGCTGTATGGAGGTCCATGCGTTAGGCATGATCTGCCCAAGATTTCATTGATTTGTCAGGACCAGGTTCAGCTAGAACCTTGGGGAGAGACAACCATTTACAGGATTATGCTCAAACATATAATTAGATGAAGATTTAATTTAAGAACCCAAACCATAATCAGAAGCCTCATGTTCTAGAGAACGAGCATTTTGGTAATCTACTTCATTTCACTAAAATGAACGTGACAGGAATCAGTCTGCTATCCTTTAAAATGCCTTCATTTCTGATTCTAGGCATTTCCTAGACTCTGGTCCATTGGCCTTACATTAGTTACTTTTATGTCTCTGTGAACAGTACCAGACAGAAACAAGGGAGGAAAGATTTCTTTTGGCTCATAGTTTTAGAGGGTTTCAGTCTGTCATGGTGGAAGAAGGCATGATGTAATTCCTGGTGGTGGGAGTGTATGGTAGAGGCTCTTTACTTCATGATGGACCAGGAAGCAGAAAGTGTTATACTAGGGACAAATATAGCCTTCAAAGACTTTCTCCCCTAGTGACCTAGTTCTGATAGCTAACGCCCCACCCCCCATCCCCAGGGTTCCACAGCCTTCCAAAATATTTTGCACCACAAACTGGGAGATGAAGAATCAAAGTATGAGCCTTTGGGGGCCATCTCAAATCAGGCTGTCACAGATCTGCCTGTCTCATGTACAGGAAAGGCATATTCCCTCTCATTTTATGTTCTTTACATCTCAAAAATTAAGATTTGTGTTTTGCATCCTTAGGTTTTTAGATTCTCTTCCTCCTTGTAGACACAAACAGCTCTGTTTCTTCTTGAATTGTGTTTTTGAGGAAGACCAGGACTCAGTTTGACTGTTCTTTCAGGATTAAGGAGAGAGAACTTGCGGAGTGGTTAAGATTTGAAACTACAGACTTCCCTGTCTCCTTCCCTGTCCAGAATCAGACAGAACAAGAATAACACTTATTTAGACACTGGGGTTTATTAGGAGGGTAATTTACAGGTAGAAGCCAAGCTCTATGCTGCTGGTTATGTGATTCTGAAATTCCTGGTCTTGCCATTACAAGGCCTGTCTGAATTCTGATTGAACAGAGCACCTGGTTTCCAAGGGCCCTTGCAGCTTTCAGTCTAGGCTCAGAGAGGCTGTACTTGATCTGCAGCTGGTGAATGGAATCTGTTTCTCAAACTGAAGGAGTTTTCTAGGTGTGAGGCCATGAGTCTCTTCATAATCTGAAACCCATCAGGAGTGTTCAGTGTTGTGGGGATGTTGCTTCCCTGCTGTGATAGTCTTGACTGTCAGTTTGAGAAGATGTAGTATTACCATGGAAACAAGCATCTAGGCATGTCTGTGAGGGCATTTCTAGATTGGGTTAACTGAGGGAGGAAGACCCACACTAAATGTAGGTGATACCATTTCGTGGGCTTGGCGTCTGAACTGAATAAAAGGGAAGCTAAACACCATTTCTCTCTCTGCTTTATTTCTTTTCTTGTCTTTGACTTTTGGAGATAGGGTCCCTCTGTAGCCCCAGTGAGTCCCTGGACCTCACTATGAAGATCAGGCTGGCTTTAATCTCACAGAACTCTGCCTGCCTCTGCTTCCTGAGTGCTGGAATTCAAGGTGTGCACCTCCATACCCAGCTTTCTGTCTCTGCTTTCTGATTGGATAATGTGACTGCCTGCGTCATGTTCCAGCTGTAAGGCCTTCCTTGTCCTAATGAACTGTATTCTTGACTGTATTCCTTCCTTAAGTTGGTTTTGTCAGATATTTTGTCATAGCAGCAAGTAAGTAACTAATACATTTGTTAATGAGGCCCCTGTACTGACTGGTGCTTGTGTTTCCTCCAGTGCACTGCTGCAGGTAAGACCTGGACTGGACTTGCTACTGCTTGAATACGTAGATGCCCACAAGTTCCTGGATCGGCTTGTGGAAAATTGTGAGTAATCTCCATATTGCTTTTCCACTAGCCTCTCTGAATCTGTGGGCTCTCTGTGTAAAGAGATTGTGAGCAGTAGTTACACAGTTCAGCCAAGTCTGGCTAATGAACTCATCCCTGCAGGCATAGCCAATCTGCAGCCCAGGGGGGCCTAGTGTCCCAGGGTTGCTACAAATTCAGCTTAACACAAATTATGAGTTACTGGGGCTGGAGAGATGGCTCAGTGGTTAAGAGCACTGAGTGCTCTTTCTTGCAGAGGACCCGGGTTTGATTCCCAGCACCCACATGGTGGCTATGAGCCATACTTAACTCCGGTTCCAGGGGAATCCAAAACCCTCTTCTGATCTCCGTGGCATTGCACGACACGGGTGCACTCACATACATGCAGGCAATATACTCACACACATAAAATAAAAATAAATAAAATATTAAAAAAACATGAGTTACTTAAAACATTATAAAGCTCTTTTTGTCATACACACACACACACACACACACACACACACACACACAATATGTATCTGTAGGATTGACTTTTACAATACAGACATGATTGGGATCAATGACTTTTACATTACCTGGCAACCAGAAAGTTATAAATAAGCTCTCTGAGCCATGTGCTCCTCTTGTGACACTAACACCTGATGTTACTCCCTCTGGCCTTGCCCTCCCTCTCCCTCTCCCTTGCCCTCCACCCAAAATAGTGAATGAATGTGGGTGTGCATGATTAACATATCAAGACCCTGAAAGCAGCATGCTTTTCTCATTGAAAACAGTGAGAAGAATTGAGAATTCTGTCTGTTATTTTGTGTCTGACAAGATAAGGGTGGATCCTAGCTTGCACTCCCCTAATTCATGGAAATACTGAGTCCATAAAAGGATGAGTGAAGCCTGACTTGAGAGCACCTTTCCATGAAACATCTGAAGGACTGGGTTCTCAGAGTTCAGATCCACTCTGGGCCATAAAATGAAGGCCAAGACTCAGGCTGTTTCTTTTTTCATTTTCTTTCTTTTTTTAAAAAAATAATTTATTGAGAATTTCATACATGCATATAAAGTATTTTGATCAAATCCATGCCTACTCCCTCCCCTTTAGCTCCTCCCTTATCTCTTCATCTCTTTTTTTCTGATAACTTCATGTACTCTTTCTTCTTCTTTGATTGATTCATTTATTTTTATGGGGCTTTTGGCTACTCTAACATTCCCCCTCTGAAGAGATAACCCTAAAATCTTTTAAGGATTAGACACAAGCTCCCAAATACGTTCAAAATCATTGGCCTTTGGAACAGAGTATGTTGCTGAGAGGCCCAAGGACATTTTGACTTTTAGCCAAGAAACTGGCTACTTTCCTTTGGGGTCCTTTTACCCATACTACCTAGCCAATTACTAACTCCTATTCTTATCACACCATGCTCTGAAGAGGTTACCAAAATTGCCAATAGGGAATTGGGACACAGACTGCTCTGGCTTCTTCTATGCTGAACAGGGACACAGGGTGAGGCAATTGGAGTACCCTTCAGTGGGTCTATCTAAAAGATTCCCAAATTGCATAACTCTTATCTCTAGGGGAAAAGCAGGTCCTTAAATCATGAATAGGAGATATGAAGATGTAAAGGCAAGAGTAATTAGCATTACAAGTTCTAGACGGGGAACTAGAAAACAGTCAAAACAGCAATTTTCAAATGCTCATAAGAGAGTCTATTGGAATTTCTTGACACGGGCCTCCAAAAGTATCTCTCTATTGGGTTCCTCCATTTTTTTCTTGTCTTCTAAGGCTGGACTGTAGAGTGATGGATTCAGGATTTGTTTTCTGGTAGTTTGATAGCTTTTGGAGTGGTTAGAAACAGTGTCAGTTTCCTCTCAAAGGCATCTAGATAGGGGGAGAAAATAAATTTATCCATCATATTAGAACAATAGCTGGTTGTCTCCCTTAGCTACAGGTGGGCACTACTTGGTGGAGACCAAGATTTGAAGTCTTACATCTGAGTAGCACTTTCTGGTTAGGAACAAAATCATCAATGAGAAATAATTGTCTAAATAACTTTTTATATAGACTTAAGCCTAATATCTGGGAAGTATAATCCCTTGAACTCTTAAATATACTGATGACTTTCTTCTTTGGTTATACTTTCCTTTTGGGTATTTAAGACCATACAGTTGGCCCAAATAAATCAATTTATTTTTACACTTAAGGTCATTTGAGGATCTGTTCCACAGGAGTCACATGGGCTTGGGAGGAGCTCCTGGCTCCTTTCTTTTACCAGTTCCATCTATGTGAAGATAAGTCAAAGGTCCTGCTCGACCATGTCTGGCTTCACTTGGAAGCATGAATGAGATGTTTCCTCTGAGTTGACCCTTCTCTTTTTAGACTGGACACTGGTTCATGTCCATCTGTTGGAGTCTCCATGTCCTCCCTGAACAAGAGGACAGGTGACTCACCACAGTTACAGGACATTTTGAGAGATGTTCCATAGTCCCCTGGAACTTAGTCAGCCTTGGAGGGCAAGGGGCAAAAACTGTCCTTTATGTCCCTCTGACCACATTAGTATGGGCCTCAAACTATGGCTGTTAAACATCCCAATGAGGTTAGTTCCACCAGTCTGGTACTTTTAATTATCATGTGCTATGTAGATAAGGCTTGTAAAAAACCAAATATTCTCAGATAAACCTTGACTAGGTATATATTTCATTTCTTAAACTAGTTGACTAAACATAGAAAATTTAAGATTATGTGTATATTATTTTTGTCTCATCCTTTATATATCATAACAAACCTACATGGACCTTCATCTCTTGTTTAGGCTTTCTTATTTTTCTAAAATAATTTCCAATAAATTTCCATTATTTTGGAAAATATCTCCATTCTCGTATCCTTTTAACATCTTTTACATTATTTTTTTAAAAAAATAATTATGAGACATAATAACATTAACAAATAAATTTTCCATCTGTTGTGAGAATTCTTTTCCTGGGGATGCTAGGCAATGCTTATTATTCCCTTTTAAGATTCTAGTGTCAAGCCACTGTTTGATTGAAGTTTTACTGGGGAACCAATGAATTTATTGAGCTTACTTACAGAGATCACTGAGAGGTTGCTGAGGTGTATGTATGACCCGAGGGTATGCACACTGGAAAGCTTTTACCCAGCATGGGTCATGTCTCCCTCTTCCAAGCCTTCCCTAGATTGTATACTTTAGCCCTTCCCAAATCCAGGAGGCCATGTGTGATTAGGGTCAAATTACATACAGTAGGCTGGGAACAGTGGCTAGATAATGAGGTGAGGGTCCAATGACCCTGCTTGACCCTCCTTTGATGAATGAGCACAACCATCAACAAGCCCAATTGTGACCATGTTTACCAATCAGTCTCAGCTGAAGTTGTGATCATGGTAGTTATTTCATGCAGAAGGGATTGCTGTATAGCATCATCTTATTAAAAGGGCCTGGAATTTTGGTGCTAGGATCCACATATGAGGGAGAACATACGTCATTTCTTTTTCTGAGTATGTTACTTCACTTAGTATAACAGTTTCTAGATCCATCCATTTATCTGCAGATTTTATTATTTCATCTTTCTTTACTGCTGAATAGAACTCCATTGTGTAAATAGTCCACATTTTTCTTAATCACTCGTCAGTTGAGGGACACTTAGGTTGCTTCCATCTCTTAGCTATTGTGAAAAGAGTGGCTGGGGAGATGGCTCAGGGTTAAGAACACTGGTTGTTCTTGCAGAAGACCCAGGTTCAAATCCCAACACCCACATGGCAGCTAACTGTCCGTAACTCCCATTCCAGGCTGATAGCCTCTTCTGTCCATCACAGGCATTGCACGACACAGTTGCACTTACCTACATGCAGGCAATACACTCATGCACATAACATTAATAATAATAAAAAAATGTCAAAAGAGCAGCAACAAACATGGCTGTACAAGTGTCTCTACAATAGGATGAGTGTTTTGGGTATATGCCAAGGAGTGGTATAACCAGGTCATATAGTAGGTCATTTTTAGTTTTTTAAGAGTTCTCCACACTGTTTTCCATAGAGGTTGCACAAGTTTGCAATCCCACCAGCAGTGAATGAGTGTTCCCCTTTCTCTACATCCTTGCCAGCATTTGGTATCATTTGTTCTCTTGATCTTACCCTGTCTGATCGGGGTAAGGTGATACCTTCTGGTGGTTTTAATTTGCATTTTTCTAATTACTAACTATGTTGAACACTTTTTGAGATGTTTCTTAGTCATCTTTATTTCTTCCTTGAGAACTTTCTATTTACATCTTTAGCCCATCTTTTAATTGGGTCATTTTGTTTCTTGAGTCTTTCTTTTTTGAGTTCTTTATATATTCTGGATGTTAAACCTCTGTCAGATGTGTCATTGGTGAAGATTTTTTCCCATTCTGTGGGTTTTCTGTTCACTTATTTGATTGTTTCTTTTGCTTTTTAAAGCTTTTTAGTTTAATAGGTCCAACTTGTTGATTGTTGACCTTAATTCCTGAGGAACTTCTCTCCAATTTAGAAAATCTTTTCCTCCACCGATATCTAGTAAGTTACTGCTAATATTTTCCTCTAATAGTTTCAGGGTTTCCAGTTTCACATTGAGGTCTTTGATCCATTTGGAGTTGGCTTCTGTGCAAGGGAAAGATAAGGATCTAGTTTCATTCTTTTATAGGTATAGATCCAGTTTTGCCAGCACCATTTGTTGAAGATGCTGTCTTTCCTCCATTGTGTGTTCTTGGCAACTTTATCAAATATCAGGTGGCTGAAATTGCATGTACTAAGGTTTGGATCTTCAATGATGTTCCATTGATTTATGTGTCTATTTTTGTGCCAGTACCCTGCTGTTTTTATGACTATAGCTTTGTAGTATACTTTGAGATCTGCAATACCCTCAGCATTGCTCTTTGTGCTCAAGGTTGCTTTGGCTATCTGGGTTCTTTTTCTGCTTCCATATGCATTCAAGGATTTTTTTTCTAATTCTGTGAAGTATGTCATGGGGATTTTG